ATGGCACTATTGTCACATTTGCTGGTAATGGTCAATCAGGTCATATTGGAGATGGTGGTCAAGCAATAAGTGCTGCCTTATCTCAAGCTTATGGTGTTAGAGTTGTTAATGATGAAGTTTACATTTCAGATAGTAATAATTTCAAAGTTAGAAAGATTGATGTTAGTGGAGTTATTACAACAATTGCTGGTACTGGTGCTGGACCATTCAATGGTGACAATATTTTGGCCACTGCTGCCAATTTGAATCATCCAACTGATGTTGCATTCCTCTCAAATGGTGAAATGTTGATTGCTGATACTGACAATAACAGAGTCAGAATGGTTTTAACCAATGGTACTATTGTCTCAATTGCCGGTAATGGTACTGCCTCTTTCTCTGATGGTAGAATTGCCACCTCAAGAGGATTATCTCTTCCAACTGGTATTTTGGTTGTTTCAGATGTTGAAATTTATATTGCTGATGCTAAAAATGGTAGAATTAGATTACTCTCCACCAAGCAAACCGTGTGTTATGATGTAGACGCTAGTGAAAATTCTGCTTGTAATGGAAATGGATTATGTTTTGATACTGACACTTGTGTTTGTCAACAAGGATGGTCTGGCGCAAACTGTAACATTACTTCATGCTCTGGTGTTTCTTCAAATGATAATTCTGTTTGTAGTGGACATGGTTCTTGTGTCAATACTGAAACTTGTGTTTGCAAACAAGGATGGTATAGTGCAAACTGTAATGTCACTTCATGTTTTGGTGTTGCTTCAAATGATAGCTCTGTTTGTGGAGGTCACGGTTCTTGTTTATCTTTGGATCAATGTTCATGCACTGGTTTATGGACTGGTTCTAATTGTAATGTTACATCTGGCAATTCCAACAACGAAGCTGCAACCTATATATACGGAATTAGTACATTTGCTGGTGGAAATGGAGAATTTGTTGATCCACAAAAGATTGCAAGATTGTCCAATGGTGACCTTATTGTTTCTGATGCAACAGGACATGCTATTAAGAAGATTTCCAAGATCAGTAAAACAATT